TTTTGCTCTTAAATTTGTGTGTGCATATATCTGTTATATTATTATTATTATTATTATTTTATATAAATTTATATTAATGCTATTTAATCCATATTATATTTATTTAATATATTGTGATGTTTGTTATTTTAAAATTTAAATTTATATTTTAAATGTAATTCGTTGCTATGCTGAGAAAGTTTTGCTTCTTATTTGTATTAATTTAATTAATTAATTATTTGTCTTAAATTTTAGTAGATATTAAACATAAAAATTTTCAACAATTCAAACGAAACAGAACAATTTTAAAATTATAACTTCAACAAAATAATATAATTGAAATTTTCATGGAATAAAACAACACAGTTTAGAAATAATTAATTGAACATAATTTTTAAATTAAAAAATTTTTTTTAATATAATTTTAATTATTAAATATCAAAATATTTAAGCCTTTCATCGAAATTTATTATTTTATCTGTTTTTCAGTCAAAATTTTTTAAGCTTCGCTTTTTTTTGTCTAACATAATTGATTTTTATATAAAAAACTTTCAACATTTTTCTTCGTCTTTCAATAACATAATTGTTATATATAAAATTTTGCAGCCCTCTTCATATACGCATATTTTATTATTGTATCTTAAATAATTTTCATATTTTTTATCGGCAATTTATATACAATTTTGTTTATCAAAAACTTAAAAGAATTTTTAATTTTTTTTTTTTTTTAATTCAAACAGTATTGTTTTAATTAGAATATTGAAATTTAAATTTTAATTAAATATAAAGGGGCGAGCACCCTTTATTTGCTTTATAGACGAAATATTACATATTTGTATAGTTAGTTAAAATTTTTTTATTTTTTTTTTAACAATATTGTTTTTGTAGCGATTTACTTTATTGTTTAAAATTTATTTACTTCAATTATTTATCAAATTAATTTTTATTGTTTTATGTAAACAAACTTCTTTTTACTCAAGCTTATATTTTATTTAAAATTGAACTGTTTTAATAATTTATATATATCATTATTTTTAGTTTATTGAAACTACAATTTTTACTATAATAAAATACGGAATTTTGTTAATTATTATAAATTATAATATATAAATTTATTCTGCATCGTTTACCTTTATTAATTTTTTTTTTAAGTTTAGTTTTATGCGTAAAAACAAAATTTTCCGTTCAGGACGTCACTACTTTTCTCATTTTTAATAAAATCTTATTTTGGATATTTTTAAATTAATAAAATTAATTTTATTTTATTAGTTTTTAATTTTTATGCGTTTATTTTGTTCACTAATTATTGCTTTTAAAAATTCAATTATGATTTTTTAAGTGTTTTTTTTTTCATATAAAATGGTTGTTTTTTAGTATTTGTTGATAATATATATATTTTTCTTAAAAAGAATTCTTTAACATATTGTTTAATTGTTGTTGTAGTTAAGCTAGTGCAGTTTGTTGTATTTTTGTTTGTTTGTTTGCTGTTGTTTTTGTTGTTGCTGTTGTTGATTGTTGAGTTCTTTGTTTGCATTCTTAACTCCATGAAAATGTGTCCGTATACCATTGCTCGCCATTTGTGCCCAAGGGTTGTTGAGTTAATGGTAAACTGCCCCAAGTGCTGCCACCATTTCCGATCAAACCGCTTGGGTAACGTCGCTTAACATCTGCTGGTGTTTGGTGACCTCCATCAAATTTACGTTTACCGACTGCTATATATGGTATTGTTTTAATTGATTTAATATATATAGATTCATTTATATCAATTAGTAGCGTTGTGGCAGGGTGGCAAAGTAAAGAAAAGAAGAAAAATTATTATTATTATCATAAAGAATAATTTATGTATATAAATATTTATTACATTTTATTATGCAGATAACTTTAAGTGATCTTAAACACTGTAATTGTCAACAAATCTTTTTTATTTTTAATTGAATAAATGAAAAATGTAACAAAATTTTTTAAAAATATTTAAAATTTTATATATTTATTTATATATTTATTTATGTGTTTATTTATTAAGTATAACAAAATGATTATATTTCCTAGCAATGCTCCCAAGTTAATTTCTTGTCCTTTAATTAAACTTTAATTGGTTAAGAATCAATCACAATTTTAACTTTTATGATGAGCATATTATTTTAATTTTTTTTTTTAATTAAGGAAAAAATATACTAACATAAAATAATTTTAAGTGATTGGTTAAATTTCTATAAAAAAAAACCAACTGTTAAAAATCGGGGAGCTTGTATTATGAACCTGTAATATACCTATATTCAATTTTTTAGTAAATATTTTTATTATATATTTTATTGTTTAAAAATAAATGAATGATACAAAAAATGCATCTATCGTCGTAATTATTTTGAAAAAATTCCTTTTTTAACAAAAAAACTGTTGGGTTTTATTAAAAATAAAATTATCTAGAGCAAAAAAATATACATTTATATTTTTTTAATAAATCATTATAATTATTACATTATTATTATTATTATTTTTACTTCATTACTATTTATGGTTTCATGAACTTCTCTATCTGTACGCTATTTCATTATAATGAACAACTGTTATTTATTTAATAAATATATTAATATTTAATTATTAAAATATATTATATAAAAATATATATACTTTTTAATAATATATTTACTCTTAGTTATTTATTGAATAAATATTCATTATATATATTAAGAATCGTTCCTCTTTTTATCGCTTATTATTATATTAATGTTATTAAAATTATTATTTTTTATATTATATTATTAAACTTTAAATGAATTTATTTTAAATATTTTTATTGTTATTATGTTTATTACTAATATACATTGTTTGTATAAAAATAATACTAGCAACTTTTTTCCTAATAAAAAAAGAACTTACCAAAAATTAAATTAAATTAAATTAAAAGGACTAATATGAAATCTATTAAGTACTGCAAAAACCTTATTTTTGGTTCTTCACTATTTTCTTTATCCCTATATAATCATGGATATTTTTTAATAATTTTTTATTTTATACTTTTACCAATAATGTTTAAAATCTAACCTCAAATAGAAAATATATTATTTTTATAATAGAAAACATTTATTTTCTAGACATTCTGTTACATTTTCGAATAAAAACGAACACGTAAATTTCTTAGTATTAAAAAAAAATTATATGTAAAACCACAAAAATATGGAGAGCATATAACTTTGACTTATTTACGATATATTAAATTAAAACAAAATATTTCTATAAAATGTGAATATAGAAATCACAAAAAAAACGATTTAAATTAACAAAAAGCAAAAAAATAATTTTAAAATTACTAAAGCAAATTTTGGGATATAACGTAAGCTTTAAGATATTAAAACTAATTCAAAAAATATATTAAATATCCATTTAAAAAATAATTTATTATATAAAATGTCCTAACAAAAATAAAACTAAGAAAAACGTATTAAAAAAAAATTCTGAAATTTTAATTTTAAATAGCTAAAATATATTACCAATGTAATTTTTTTTTTTATTTATTTATGAAAAACACATAAATCAAAAAATTACAATTTTTAAAAACAGAATTTACTACATTTTATAATTATAATATATTAAAATAAATGTATGTGATATTTTAAAATAATAAAAATATATACTAAAATTTTTTCTACATGTATAAAATAAAAATAAAACTTATTTTGAGAAAAAAACTCTATAAAAACTTATTATTAAATTGAAAAAAACTGAAAATTAAAAATATTTAATAAGCTATTTAAATTAAAATATAAAACAAAAAAAAAAACGAAAAACGAATATGAAGAAAAAAATTCGTAAATATTTTTAAAATAATAAAAATTCATATAAAAGGAAATAAATTCCTGTTATAAAATAATAGTAATAATAATAGTTTGAATTAGTAATAGCATATATGTATATGAATTGTGGATTAAATAAAAGGAAACAAAAATCACTTTTGCTAACAATTTTCAGTTATAATAATATCAATATATAAATTTTTTTAATTAAAATTAAAAAAAATGCAAGTTTAGAATTTTAAAAAATACTTGATATCCTGATGCATTTTGATTAAAAAAAAACAAATGAAAGAAAACAATTTTTTTTATATATTCTTACAAACATGATAAAAAGCAAAGAAGAATCGTGAATATATATATTAATTACAAATATACACATCACTTCTATTTAATTATAAATAAGATCAAGTGTATTGCATTTATTAAGTTTCGAGTTTGTTTCATTCTTAAGGTTTATTTTATTTCATTTTCAAACAATTCACAATTTTAAGTCGATCGACCTACTTGCCCGTTTCATTCTCACTCATTCCTAGCGTGCATTTGCGTAATTCGCGGGCTATTATGAGGTTTAAATGAAATAGGCAAGCATTTCTTAATTATTTGTGCCAATAATAAAAATAAATTTTTGTTTAATTTTAATTAAAAATTAAATTTAGAAATAATTTTTGAATTTTTAGTGTTGAAGTTGTGCTTTGTTTCGAGCACTGGTATTGTGCTCAGTGGTTCTTAGTTTTCAATAAAAATTGTGAACAATCAATAATGAAAAGATAATTTATTATTCTCCCATCATGACAGTATTAAGGCATATTATTTACTACAACAACACTAAATTGTGCTCAAAATTAAATATTGAAACATTCAAACTTTAACTTTATAAAATGCATTACCCTTATTAACGATTCTTTTTGCTTTTTATATGTCTAATATATTTTATTTTTTTTTCATCACTTTTAACAATACGCTAAGAATATTATTTTTGTTCTTTTTTTTGAGTTTTGTAAATCCTTTTCCTTTTTTCTTCACTTTGTTCTTTCTTTGCTCTTTCTTGGTTGGTTTCTTCATAGATTATTACAGCACATTATAAAGTACATATAATATTCTTATAATTTTGAAATTTTTACAACCAAACTTTCCTTATCAAAAATTATAAAAAACATTTTCAATATAAACATAACAATAATAAGTCAATAATATTAATTTTAACATTAACTGGATGTGCAGCACACAACAATTTTGAAAAAAATTGCTCGTTTTGGAATTTAATATAAAATAATTTTGTGCGCTGTTTGTTGTAGATTTTTTTGATTCGGGATTTTTTGTTTATGCATGGTATTGCTAATTATTAAAAAAAAGATTAGTAATTAATTTTATGTCAAATAATAAGGAATATATATAAATGTCATACAGAAAAGGCTGTGTATTTAAGCAATCGTGTAGAGTTTACCCAAACTAAGGAAGTGTTTTATTGTTCTTCAGATCTTTTCCTTTTATCGTTTTTCATTAGTGAAATTGTTTGATTTGTAATTAATTTATATTTATAATATATATAAAAAATAAAACTATATAAACGCAAATTTCTTATGATTGTATAAAATAAAAGAGAGACTATGTGTGGAAGATATAAAAACATGCTTCACATTAAGCTTTCACGCACAAAATTGACAAAGTTTTTCATAGCAGCGACTCAGTGCCTTTCAAACTGTCATTTCAACTAAGTATTGCATCGATATGTTGTTTGCTTTAGTATTTTCTATTTCTGTCTTTTAATTTGTTTTTATATAGATTTCGGATACTTAGACTAGCGGCACAATGCATCGCTTTAGTATAAACGGAATTCAATTAAATATCTGATATCGATATTATATGATACGCTGCAATGTTGTTAGAATGTAAAATTATATGGACGACAAACTTCAAAGATTGTACGTATATATTGGGCTGGTCAAAAAGTATTAAGCAATTCATCTTTCTGTTTAACAGATATACTATTAGGTGATAGATAGTTTTTAATAAAAATTTTTCTAAAAATACAATTAAAATTTTGGAAAATTATACATACATTTTGTAACGATTAAATCCAGTTCAAATGTGTCAAAAGTCTTGTAGTGAAAATTGTAGACAACCTTGAACTCTGGAAATTTGGTTGCGATAGTAACTACTCGTTCTAGTCGTCATAACAGCAAAAAGGTTATTGAAATTATGGAAAGATTTATGATTAGATTATGAGCACTGCATTGCTAAGTGTTAACTGAACTAAAGATCAGATCAGTTAGAATTGGTTTAAATCGTCCAAAGGAGACTATATTTCTATGGTTCATTAATAAAATGGTAAATGGTAAGTAAAGTAGTAACATTTATAATAATGTTGTAGGAAAACTTTCTTGAACATAATGACTTTACACAAGGCATCATGAAACCTGGATGGACGACAAGGACGACAATACTATGTGTTTCATTATGAGCTACAGGTACATGTTTTAAGATCCAATAAAAGCTTTGATACATCCATTGAATGGTTAGACTACTATTTGTTCCAATCTTTGCAACAAACGCTGGCTTCCGCAAAATTAGTAAAAGATATAGTTATATGTAGAAAAACATCTAACATACATAACTTTTTCTAAGTTGAAACCTTAAAATTTCAAAAAATGGTTCTGCCTATAAAATAATCACAGAATGTGATCGAAAAAATTTAGTAATATTTTGAGAGTACGTAATTATATATATAATTAAAGTAATTATATCTAATACATATTATAAGAAGATTCGATTGCTTCATGAATAATGTATATATTTAAAAAAAAATGTGAGTGATCCGATCGTAACTATTATGTGTTACATAGACGAGTAGTTCTTCATTTATTTAAAGTTGGGAAACACTAAATTTTAATATTCTATCGCATGGAGCATTTGCAACATGTAAGCTTTAAAACAGGATATTCAATATTTTTCAATGTAAGGGCATAAGAAGAAAAAGAAAAAAAAGAGTGTTTCTTCTCCTATTTAAATGTGTTACTTCCTGTAATTTATAATAAGTGGTTTTGCTATTATGAGTAATAAGCTCGAGTAATTAATTTCAAGTCATACATTCTAACATTGGAACATGTTTGATCCGACAAAAGTACGTTGATTGAGGCAATTTCATATCATAAATTGATACGATCAAGTGTGCTCAGTTTATAGTAACCGATTGGACTTTCTAGATACCGTGCTGGTTTATAGGTGTACGCTTATTAAATTGTTTTTGTTTTGTTAAAGGTCTCATTTGTCCACTTAATTTTCTTGAGGAATATTTAAACTTGTTTCACGGAACATCTTCGTTCCATAGAACACAGATTAAGACTAGAATATATCTATTTTGTCTTGATAATTATTTGTTATCATATATATGTAAGTTTCTTAAAATGCAAAAATTATTTGGTTGAACTCCAATAAAATGGAAAATTATGTCGTCATTAAAAGATAATATTTAATATTTAGTATTTTTTAAGTTTCTCAATACATAAAAGTATAAAATCAATATGAGAAAAATTAGTTAAATGTATACATATGTAAATAAATAGAAATAAAAATTAAAATAAGCTTAAGAAAATAAAAAAAAATAAAATAAAACGAATCGATTAGTATTAATTGCAGTTGTGTATAAAATGTTTATAATGTTGTATATTATAATAGATAAAAATATTTTAAAATATATCACAAATGATTTTTATGTAAAAATTTATTTTCTATATACGAGTATGTTTATAATCGTTAGCAAAAGCATTTGTCATATAACTAAAATAATATTAATTAACAATTTATATAAAATATTTAAAGCATAACACATTTCTAAACACAAAAATTATTACATATTATTTTTTTTTTTTTGTGTGTTGAGAAAGCTTTAAAAGTTTTCAATTAATTAAATTTTAATTTTAATTTTAAATTAATTAGAAATTAAGATGTGTCAACGCCATAATTTTTGTGTCTTAAAAGAATTTTAATTTATTTTACTTAATAAAAAAATATTTATAAAAAATGTGATTATACAAAATACAATTAGTTATTATTATATATTTATTATTAACTTAATACGATATTTTACATTGGAAATATTTGTAGCCAAAAATAAAACAGGCCAAATCATTTTAAATTTGTTTGTGTGATTTTCTTTATTATTGTTGTTTTTATTAGAAAACATACGAAAATGTTGTTTTTGTTTTATTTTTTAATTTTTAAAATTTTTAAAATTTTTGCCTTGTTTTAGCTGTGATTTGTGTGAAATTTCACGATTTTGATTTTGATTTTGATTTTGTACCAAATTTTTAGGGTTATTGTCGGATCTTAAAAAAATTATATATACAAACGTCAAAAGATACATACAGAGTACTGGATAATAACTTATATATTTAAGATTTTTTCAGTTTTGATTTTAAATTTCTTTGAACTGAAGTAATTTTGATTTCTGTGCGAGGTCCAAACAACAAAATAAAATAAATAAATATTAAAAAAATAATACAATAAAAAAAAAATAACGTGAAAAAAAATTATATATATATTGTATATGAATTGAAGCAGGAATTTTGATAGGATAATGTGCAGTAATTAATAATTTATAGTAATAATTTATTGACTTAAAAATTTAAAATAAAATATAAAATTAATATAATTAATTTATAACGACTGCAATATTAAAGTTGAAAAATTAAATAAAAAAATTCAAAGTAGCTGTTTAGCTGTGTTTAAATATTCATATATATATAAATATATATATATATTTATATATAAAAATAAACTGAATTTATGTAATATTAAATAAAATTTCAATTAGTGCATAACTTATTGAGCTGACAATTTATATATAATTTATAAAAGTGGAAATTGCTAATATATCCGTTAAATATTTTAATCTGTTCTACTATAATAATAATAATGTACGACACAAAACTACATACCACATCAATAATTTTACATATTGCATTTATATATATTTAAAATAGTTTTATATAGCGAAATTATTGAAAAGACCACAGAGCAATCGGTCCCTGTGTAAAATGCATATAAACATTATAAAACTCATTATACACTTACAATCGTTTTAATAAAATAATTACTGTCATATTTGAAAATAAAATTATATATAAACGTTATATGTAAACGTGAAAGATACTAATCGATTCATATTGGAGAAAATATACACTTATTATTGATAAGAATCTCATTAGAACAGGCATGACTACATTATCTTATCTAACGGAGTATGTAAATTTGCGAAGACTACCATATGTTATTTATCGTCCATCGCGGACACACTAAGACTAATAGTGAATCGTGATTTTGGAGCAATATTCGTTCATGCATGTCTTGTACTGATATTTTGAAAGAACTGACACTGTTTTGTCCTTCAAATATCTCTTGAATCGAAACTAATATGCCTGCAGTTAAAGGCGGTCTCTTACTGTATCTATCTCAAAATGTTGCTTCTCAATTATTTAAACTATATATTTTTAATAATATAATATACTATACATAAACATATATAACACAAATGGCAACACATCGACAGTTCTAAGAGCACAAACATGCAGTAAGGACAACATTAATAGAAGTAAAAGTAGCAAAAAGAAAAAATATAGGCAACATTTCAATAAAAGCAGTCCTGAGAGTGAGGAAGGAGCTGTGGAGCTGTTGCTAAAGGCTTTCAAGTCAACTCTCACCTCAAGTTCCTGGTCACTATTCATTATTATTTATGTGAAGTTATGTGAAGAAAAACCAAATAGTAAATAAAATAAGAAGCAAACACATTTGCGTCTATTAATTAATTCGGAAATAAAAAAAATAAGTAATCAAAGTTCGAATTCGAGCATATTTTATATAAAAATCCTTTTTTATTTATTCATTTAAAAAAATAATAATACAATCATTTTCACTTAACTAAATTAAAAATTATAGCAAACTTGCAATATTGTTCTTTAATTAATCATAAATCGATTAATTAATTAAAACTAATTAAAACTATTTCACAAAGTAGGTGACAAAATAGTAACAGTAAAGCAAATAAATGTAAGAGAACTAAATGAATTAATTATAACTAAATTAGCAACACAAATTAATATCATTAACTTAATCATTAACAAAACGCAATATCAAATATCAAATATCAAAAATCTATCTAATTGAAGAAAATAGTAGAAAATCTATTAGTATTAAGTAAAATAATTAGTAATTAGAGAATAGAGTACTTAATGTGAGACAAAAGATAAGTATATATATATATATAGATTTATTAGCAACAATTTAAGGAAGTAGCAAACATACTAATAACAATAATTTAATTTAATATCCTTAAAACATTATAAATGATTTATTTTTCCAATAATGTATAATGAAATAATCCATATTTTTATGGGTTTTACGTTCCTTTCATACTTTCATACTTATTAGCATTTTCAAAATGAAAAAGTAGCATAATTCATAAAAGTTGTTAAAAATTATAGTAGTTACTTTCTTTACTGTAGTTGTAGTTGTAATTGTAATTGTAATTGTAATTGTAATTGAAATTGTAATTGTAATTATGTTGTTGTAGTAGAATTAAAAATTATTTTTCTTACTTTTTTGTTTGAATTTCTGAATTTCTGAATTTCTTTAAATTGTAGCAGTTTTGTTTATTCTCTCACCTGGTAAACTTTGTAGTGGCTTGGCGTGCTGGGTGCCATGAACGTTGGGACGAGTTTGTCCCACCCCAAGGACCCCCCCGGTTGCTGCCTGAGCCCCCAGAACGGTGACCCCCTGTGGAATTGCCACCGCCGCCTCCTCCTCCTCCACTGCCGCTTGTTGGACCACCGGACGACGACTGATGTTGCCACGGTGTCCAACGACTCGGCCACGCAGGTCCATGATTCCACGCCCAAGACCAACCCCCTGCTTGTTTGTTTGTTTATTTTATATATATCATCATCAGCATCATCATTATCGTTGTTATTATCATCATTATCATCATTATGTTATCACACACATGTCGTCACATTTTTATATTGGTATTTTTTAGCACAAGTATATGTGTGTTTTTTTTATTGGTGAGTAGAAGTAGGGGGTATGAAGGGGGTTGCATATCCATTTCGAATTCGTTTGTTTGTGATCATAATTTTCAATTTAATTTTTTGTAAATTTTCCGATTACAAATTATTTTTTCGAATTATGAATAATTTTAATTAAAAATTTTGATTTCATATATATGAAACATAGGTGCACATATATATATATATTTATAGGTGGGCATGTATAGATATATATACGGATCGGCAGGATAAGATTTTTTTTTTTTTGAGAATATATTTTGGAAATAAATTTTAAAATTTAAAAATAAATAAAATTATAAATAATAAATTTAAGGGAATTTTTGTTGTTTTGTTAATAAAAATTTGTTATTAAATTAAATAAATTTTTCATTTGTGTTGTAGAATAAATAATTGTTGGAGGGGGGAGCAACAAAAAATTAATGTTTTGTAAAAAGTTTTGATTTTGATTTTTTTTTGTTTGTAAATTGTTAATTTTATTTTTGTTAATTTTGTTTTGTTTTTGGTTTATGTATTATTTTGTTTTGTTTTGGTTTTTTGTTTTGTTTTGTTTTGTTGGTAATATAGTAGGTAGGTATTATGTTTTGACGAACATATATATAATTTTTTTAAGATGATCGAGATTGTTCGATTCGATTGTTTTGTTTGTATTGAAACATAAAAAAGAAAAAGAAAGAAAAGAAAAATCGAAATAAACGCGTTAGATTTTTTTGTGTTTAAAAATTATGAGCTATGATCTCTAAAATAATAAATTTCTTTTACTATTTAAAATTTATATACAAAAAATATTAATTAAATAAAAATTAATTAGAAAAGCTTAAACATAGTTATAAGACATAATTATTTAAATAATTCTTTCTTTTTATAAATTCATAGTAATCTAAAAATACAATCGCCGTTTAGAAGAATAAACTGATCCCAATATATATTACATGACGTCATCACGTATATAATAAATTTAATTAAAGAACTTAAAATACTATTCTTTGGTATTAAATAAATAAATAATTTTATATTATATATTTATAATATATCAATTTAACAATTTGCGATTGACACAGTCAAAGTATAATGTAAAAATAATTAATATATCAATTATACAAATAAAATTTTTATATAAAGCATTAGTAGTAAGAATAAGCATTTTTTGTATTAAATTAAAATTATATGCTGTACAAAAAAGCAAGACAAATAAAAAAGAGATAAGCATTTTTTTATTTCAAAACTTCTGATTGTCATAATATATAACATAAGAGAAATGTTATTGTAATCATTTTTCAACTTATTAAACTGCTTGTTACAATAAAAAAAAAATTTCAAAAAAAAAACCACAGCGACAGCTAATGGCACTCGAACATAAATATAGAAATTCACTTCACTCAATTAAACAGTCAATGCTCATCTTAGTCCAAATATAAATTAATTACAGATAATCGGAATAGGTTAATTAACACTAGTTAATTCGGTGTTATAAACAACTGTGGTTAACAGCACTAAAAAAGAAAATAGAAACCAATTTCAGAAAAACTTTCTGTAAAAACGTCTGGCACTGTCTTAATGGTTGAAATTAAAGTGAAACAAACATTTCTGTATATATAGGGTGCTTTCGATTTGTTTAACTTGCCGAAGAAATGAAGAAAATGACAAGGAAAAGGGTAGTTACAGTTATCACAAGAAAAAAATCTACGTAAAAATGTGCAAAAAAAATTCTCAATGGGTTCAAAAATTATGAACGTTTGAAATTTTTTTTTGAATATTTTTGTAAAACTTTACAGTTCATATTAGTTTATATATAAAGTAATAGACTCGGAATAAATTAGGAATAGGAATAGACCCAATTCAGGCTATAATATTCTTGGGGTCAATATTTAAGGTAACCACCATATAAAGAAGTTGTTAAAATCGGAATTTTCTACATGAGACTAATGCTACGTAATTTATATTTAAAAGTGTAGAATACAGACTATTAGATTTTATTTCAGGGGTTTTTTTTTTTTTGAAGTTGGCACAACGAATACACTGTAGATCCTCAGGTTATATATAAAGCGAAGATTTTATTTCGAAAACTCCGACATAAAGTAAAGTCAATTCGAAGATGGAGCTGCTACAACTTAAATGACAACTTTATAAATGCCGAAGAAGATGCAAACTATGCAATCAATTTCTCACATTTCTTAGATATGAGTTGTTATGGAGTTTCATCGTCAATATGTTACATCTTTGATGCAACAATAGTATGAGTAAAATTGAAGCAAATATTCTGAAAGGGAGAACCGTTAGAATATGTAGTGCCGATAGCATTAACTCCCATTATTCCCATCCACAGAAAAGAATGTTGATGTTTTATAAAAGTCAGTTTAATTGTTAAAATATCCTATGTTTTTTCTAAAACGTAGGACCGCACGGAAGGTATAGCTATATAACTTTCATCTACTAATATCTCTGTGTTTTCTCTGAGACGTAGGACCGCACGCAAGCTATAGCTATATAACTTTCATCGACATTTATCCCTGTATTTTCTCTGAGACGTAAGGTCGCACGCAAGGTATAGCTATATAACTTTCATCGATTAATATCACTGTGTTTTCTCTGAGACATTGGACCGCACGCAAGGTATAGCTATATAACTTTCATCGACTTATTTTTTTTTATTCCGCATAGATACTTTGCATCTATTAGATTAATATGTAATATGTATGTAAATATAGTTGCTTATCTCTTTTTTGAACAGAAAAGTATGTTAATTAATCTTATAATAAAATAATAAATAAGCAATGAAATAAATGTAAGTGTTAAAAACAAATGCTTTGAATTAGATCGCTTAAAACATAAAAAGCATTAAATATTAAAATTATGGTTAATAAAAATTAGCAAAGCATAAGCATTAAATAAGCATTTTTATATAATATATAAAAAAAATGAATATAATTTAAAAATAATTTAAATTAAAGAAAAATCATGAAGGACTTTTAAGTGACTATTATTGGGTGTGTTTTCATTTTTGTTAACAAAAGACAAAATTCTTTTGGATGTGCTCCTCAAAGGATGAGTTCATTAAATAAGTTTAAATCCTAAAATAATAATACTAATTCTATAAAAGCAAGTTTTTTTATTTATATAATGGGAAGTGTTCTAATTTAAAATAAATATAAAAATAAAAAAATAGACATATAGGTGTGTATGATGTTTAATGGATGTGGGAATGTTGTCAAGGCGGTGTAAGACGGTGTGTTTGTCAATGATGATTATGTGCTGGTGGTAGAGTTCCCAATAAATATCCAAGAGTGTTGTTTGAGTTTATGTTATGTTGAGGTGGAAAAAAGGAATTGAAATATAAAAAAAATTAATAAAAATAAGGATTTAAAAAAAAAATAAATTTTAAATATCTAAAATAAAATTTTGTGTCTGTGGATAAAATTGTTTCGATCCTAAAGCTGTGTACATTGTCAAGTCGTGTATTGTACTGTTGTGATAGCAGTTGTCGATAGCAGTTGTGAAAATAGATAGTTACAGATAAATATAGTTTATTTCTTTTAAAGATAACAGATAACCCACCATGCGATGTGAATGCCGCGGCGTACGACGTATTTTACCCGGAGCATCTCTAACAGGTTGAGCCTGATTAGTAGAGTGTTGGTAATCGTAATAGTATTCCTCGTCAAAGGCACGATTGCGAATGTAATCTTCATCAAAGTAGGTGGCGCGGGAGTTGTTTTGAACATTATTTTGGTTTGAAATATTCTGATCATACAAATCCTCATAGGAATCTTTTTCATACATCATGTCATCATAATTACGTTCAAAGCGATAGTTGTGTAAACCATCACCAGAATTCATGTGAGTATTGCTTGTTTTAGTATTAAAGCCACGATAATATTCTTGATAGGTCCCATAATTTGGGTACTTGTAATTGTTATTCTCTATAAATTTATTTGGAAATTTGTGTTGGGAAAATTTAAAATTTAAAATTTTGAATTTTGAATTTTGAGTTTATTTATAATTTTGCCAATTTACATAAAAACAAACAAATAGTATTTACTTAATTATTTAATTTAATAATATTTTTGGTAAAAACTTGAAAAAAAACATACAACATAAAAAACTAAAAATAAAATTAAAATAATATTTATATATAATAAATAAGAATTTATTGCCAAAAACAAAAACAAGTACCAAAGTAAAAAAAAAATAATAATAATAATATCAAATGTGTTTCATTTAGGGAATAATGTGTGTAGGGATTTGTTCAAAATTATAAATAATAATTAATACTCTTAAATAATAATTGAAAGTAAATCGAAAAATTAATCAATTATTAAATAACAGTTACAATTGCAATTGTAATTACTCTTATATATATAAGTTTATACAGAAAATGCTTTGGCCTATTTTTTTGTATTCAAGTACAGGTTTTTGTACACAAGTTTGGGTGGAGCAGGGGGTGGGGGTCATTTCCACATGCTTCAACATGAATTTACATGAATATTCATGTTTTTAATATGTAGGGGGTTACTTCTACGTCCTGTTGATCTCAAGTAGATAGATTTTATAGTAATTAATTCTTAAGTATGGAGTTGGGAATTATATGGAACTATGTTTTGGGTAAAGATTTTATTGAAAATTATAACATGCGCTCGTGTTTTTAATTTTTTTTTTTTGATTTGTACTTATTGGCAAAGGGAGTGGCATATGACATATAGATCTTCATTATAGCAAATTTATTACTTACCAGCATAACATCATTATGTATACAGGGTGTTTATGATTTGCTACACATAGTACATTATATGTAATTGCAACATTTAATATTAAATAAATAAAAAAAGGAAATTCTAACATTACTAGACATCAATCAATTTATTTAAGGCTTAATATTTATGGTTGTACTTTACAAAAAAAAAAAAAACACAAATACATTTAGAAGAAACTAATATACGACATTTTTGGAAAATAAGCTAATTAATTTTTAAAAACATACTAAATACATTTTTTAAGCATGCATTACAACAACTTCAATTGAAATTCAATTACTTAAGAAGGAATTCTTAAATTAAAAAAAGCAGCGCTGGCAAGTCGAGAAAAATATCTTAAAAATTAAGTGCAAATAACAATGAAAAGATACACACACCCAGAAAATGCTTAGTGAAAAAATATATTAATTATTAATTATGTTAATTATGAGATTAAAATGAAAAGTTAATTTTTTATTAGCAGCAATTCAGCTTGAAATAGCAAAATGTGGTTCACAAATCAATGAGAAGACGTAAAAGGGATGAGGTGACTTAAATTATAAATGAGCTTTTGTTAGTATTGAACTTAATATAAATTAAGAAAGAAATTTAATTATAAATAAAAATGTTTCAAATATAAATAATATGTATTTTTAAGAATTTTTGGCCTATGCAATTGCATTACGCGCGCAAATTTTAGATACTTTACTTTAGATACTTTAACGTTTCATTACTAAGTGTTTAGGTTCGCTATAATTCAACTCTCAATTTTACAAATTCTTCGTATGTCAAATGCAAATTTTTTATGCCAAATATTTTTTATATATAACATATATATAAATAATTTGTTGTTGTTCTCATATTCTCATACGAGACACTTTACTCTTCTTTAACAATATTAAATTATAAGGAAATAAATTGTGTATGTTATAAGATTCAATTTGCTCGATTACAATAATCAATAATCAATAATCAATGAGAAAATATACGAAATAACGAATAATAAATCTAACTAATATAATAGTAGAGAATAGTTAAAATAATTATATATATATATACTAATAAATATATGAAAACAGTGTATCAGATGACTTACCGTATTCACGAGTCATTGGAGTGCGCATTTGAATCCTAGGACCACCTGGTATACGTAAAGGAGCAGTAATAGACATCATACTTGGATGTGTTGGTGAGAGATTTCTGTACGGAGACAAGGGTTCGAAGCTTTACAAAAAGAAAAAGTATAAAGTCAAAATAAATAACAAAGAACACACAGCTAAGATATAATCTGAATTTCTACAAACATTACATTCATTGCCAATGTCTTTCTCTCTAGATGGGTTGGGTTGGTTTTCAGAATATATATTAGAAAACTATATAACTCGAAGTGAGCTTATAGTGTTCTTTTTTATTTTTGAAAAATAAAAATTTTGAATACATGTGTACAACAAAGCAGAATGCTTGTTTATAATTAATTGTTTGTTATTGCAAAAGAAACATATATAGGTAAGTCTTACCCTACTATGCCCGGACGTCCTTGCATCATTTGCATCATACGACGTTCACGAGCACGAAGAATTTCTTCTTTCTTTTTCTTGTCTGATGGTGGCTTAGCTAACGAAACCTTCAATGTATAAAATAAATTTAATGTTATATATGTATATATGTATATATGCATATTTATTTGCATACTCACTTCAATATTTGAGGCACCTATTTCCTTGCCATTTAAACCACGCATGGCAATGACTGCACTATCACGATCTTCGAAATGCACAAACGCGTAATCCTTGATTTTCTTAACGCGCTCAACCTTTCCATATTGCTCAAATTGTTCCTGTTGCAGAAGTTATTTATTATGATTGTGTATAAAAAGATTTCTAGAAACCTAAAATCTATATAGTTTAATATATTACCTTTAGCTTATCTTCAGACACATCCTGAGTAAGATTGCGTACATAAAGTACTTTGACTTTTGACATAGTTTGTTCATCAGGCTCTTCTTGAGGGTCAGCCCAATCAACTATTATATCACATCCCCAAACCTAATTAATATAGGAAAGAATCAAGGTAATTTCATACGGATAAATTACACAAAAAATACAAAAAAATACAAAAGAATACAATATACAGCATGTCGAAAATAGATTACGTCGTTAATACAGTATGACGATAATAAAGTGTGACAATTACACATATCTGTAAGACGCAATTGTGGTATGTCAGTAAGTCTATAAGTCGAAATGCTTGTAAGTCGAATGGTCGAATTGGTACGTCGATATGTCGGTAAGCCAATATGTTGTTAAGACGAAATATTGGCACGTCGATATGTCGGTAAGTCAATATCTTAGTACGTCGATATGACGGCAAGTCGATAGGTCGATAAGTCGATAGGTCGATAAGTCGATATGTCGGTAAGTCGATATGTAGGTAAGTCGATATGTCGGTAAGTCAATATGTTGTTATAATATGTGATTAAATAATAATAATAATTAAATGTGATATATGTCAATATCTGAAATGAAAGACAATTTGAAAGATAACAGCTTGGTATAATAAATTATGGTAATTATGGTCTTTCTACATATGATTAATAAAAAAATGTAGCTTGTAATATACTTTTCCCCTGCGAGATAGGGGTTAGAATATTCCTGAGGTAAGGCATGCCTGTCATAAAAGGCGGATAAATTCTGACAGACGTCGGAGGGTGTGGTGTAAAAGATCACAATGACCCTGTGAAGCCCCTGTGACAAGACGAGTGGCGCCGTCTTTGAGTAAACGTCCCCCACCACGGTGTTGCATCATGGGATCTAAATGTGCACAGCGACCGTCTCTTGATTGGGGGCTGCTAATGCACCACCGTGGGAGATGGAAGTGCACAGTGCCTGTTGCCTTTTTTAAAATGGCATTGAAGCACCTCTTAATCATATACTTAATCATCAGTGGAAGGCAAAACTAAAGATATGGGGTCATTGATAATATAAGTATATTACAATGTTTCTATATATGAATTATTGTCATATTTCAGTGACTAATGATCTATATTCGGTATGAGTATATAATGAGTATATTTGCATATTTTGAAGGAAGACGGACAGGGCAATCGAAAATATAATTATAATACAATGTTTCAATATATGATTAAATAAAGACATATATATTTTGTAATGACATTTTTCAGTGACTAATGATCTATATTTGGTATAAGTATATAGTGAATATAGTTGGATATTTTGAAGGCGGAGTATTTATTTGTAAGGATAGATTATGACGAAATCTTCGAATGTCAAATATGTTCACATTTTTAAAACTCATTTTGACTAGAAATATTAATCTTATATAAATATATTTATATTAGTCTTTCTTTGGGATATATTGGAGTTTGTTTTTTGTTTTCTTACCTTGATACGACCAGTTCCAAGTCTACGCTTAGCTAAGGAGGCAGCCTTATGTGATTCATATTCGAGGAAGCAAAATCCACGATTTTTCTTCTTATCATCTGGTGAACTATAGATTATGACTTCGATGAGGCCAGCTAAATTGTGTCATATTAAAAATAGCGAGAATTGATTAAATTTGTAGATGGACATATATAAACACCAAAATAAAAGTTTGTGGAAAAAATAAATTTAAAAATACAACAAAAAAGTTTTTATTCAAATTAATAATCTAAAATTATTAAATTATTAGTATAAGTAAATTGTTTATTTTTATACTGATTTTTCCAAGTAAAAATATTCAAAATTTCACATTACAATGCGTTTAACTCGGGCAATTGTTATGTAAAATAATGAAAATTTCTACTTTTTATTCATTTTTGTGTAATTTTTTCTTGATTTTGGAAAAATTTTGTTAAAATTTTGAAAAAAATTAATTTTTTTGCTAAAATATTTCCATACTTTCAAATACAACATTTATTTTCAAATTCTTCTAATAACAAAATTGTAACAAAAATATAAAACCAATGCCAAAAACGCTTAATTAATATTTTTATTATCTGTTTTTTTTGTTTTTTTAATATTTATATTATGTATATTGATTTCTAATAATTTTTTTTTTATTCAATATTTTTATTTGTAAACTAAAAAATAGCTGAATGAATTTATTGATTTTTTGATTATTGTTTTCTTATATGAGTTATAGAATTAGTTTGTATCCTTTATTTATATTAAAAAATACGAGTATATGCATATATGTATATAAGAAAAATTACATTTAGGTATGACAGAGTAGTAGAAAGATAGAGACAAAGAGATTTATAAATTGAATATTTTTTAAGTATTTATATAATTTCTGGTTAATTCTGCACAGTGTATACACTTAAAACAAAAGTTTAAAAAAAAACTATAAACTATAAACTATAAACAGTTCAGGATATACGGGGTGCCCCAAAAGCAGCTCATCTTTACTTTTATGCAACGCTGAGCTGCATCTCTTATAGTTTAATTTTATATATAGTATTATTTTATATATATACATATATATATACAACTGTTACAAACATTAACTGCCAATTTATTTATTTGATTTTGATATTTATTTAATATTTAATATTTAATATTAAAGCAGTTGTGATTTTTGTTTTGCTGTGCAGTCTAAATTTACAAAATATGTTTTTATCCAATTTCCACATTTGCGCCTTGAAGTACACTACAAAAATTTATTGTCACTTACTTTTGCACACACACACAACTGTACCATGTAATATGTACTATGTATTAGGCTGAATATGCTGATTACGCTGCAGTTGAGGCACTCAACATTCTGTTTGTAATTCGATAAAAAAAATTTTCTTCACCTGTGATTGGATAAAGATGGATTGTTTCATTTATATATATATTTAGGTATCCATGGGTTAAAACAACATCAAGATCAACAACAAAGTAACAAAAGAGTCTCCAGTCATTACCACAACAACAGATTAAAACTGATTCATTTAACTGATCGTTCGATTGATTGTTTGTTTGTTTGATTGTTTGTTTGTTTGATTGATTGATTGATTGATTGATTTTGATTTTGATTTTGATTTTGATTGACAGATTGTATGATGCCATTAATTTGTTTAAATAATTTTGCAATTGTTAATGTAATAAAATCATATACAAATAGGAAATGCACTGCAGGTAACATTAAACGTCGATTAGCACAGCTTTTTACAACTAAATGTTTATATATCTGTTCAAAAAATTTGAAATTTGGGGCGTATGGGTAATGTTTTTAAGAGGGGAAATAAATAAATTTTGTGTTTTGAAAAAATTATAAAATATAATTTTGATATCCAAAAAATAACATTGAAAAATATCTACTTTTTGTTGCTGTAGCTAGACAATTATATATAGTTTCTTTTATACAATTATGTATATAATTTTGAGACAGTTAGTAGCCATCAAACTGTCTTGGTTGCAGATTCACCAACCAAGTCTTCAGTATTCAAGTATTCAGATATTCAGATATTTCAGTATTTTATATTTTTGGTTCTTGTTGAAATTTTGGCTTAAATTTGATAGCTACCTTTTAAGTTTTTGCTTATAATAAAAACTGCAACAACATCAGGAAGTGCAGTTTTTATTATTTTAGTTTGTCCAAAAGTTTTTCTAGCGAATTTGGCAATGTTTTTATTTTTATTTTATTTTTTTGTTTTATTTTGTTTTTTTTTTTTTGTCATTTTATTTCATTCAAAAATTGTTAAGCTACAGTTATATAAAGTTTTTATAAATAAAAATAAAAATGAAAATAAAATAATAATAAGTAATCTATCTTCATATGTGAGATTGAAACATAAATTTTTGTTGTATTTTTAGTGGCTGTTACACATTCGAGGTAATTTTAATTTTTTATTTCTTTTATTTTGTGGCTACTAATTCCAATTGCAAAATTTCATCTGCAAACGATGTCAGTGCTTTGCAGAAAATAAGAGAATTTCATTTGATTTTTGATTGTTAAAAAATTAAACTTCACATTTGTCGATGAATTTTTACAACTGAAATCATTTGGTTAGCATTTGAATAAATTTTTTAATTATATTTTATTTTATTTAAAATGTGCGTTTTTAAGCGAAAAATTGCAAAACAAAAATCCAATTAAATATACGCTCTTTTGTAGTTTTTTTTTTTTTTTTTTTTAATCTTTTCTCAGATATTTTTTCAGATATATACAAACCCAATTATTTTTTCTATATAAAATTCTGCAAAGTTTCGCTCGCAAATAATACTCTTTCAGGACCAATTAATAACCAATCTCATTACCATAAACTAAACACAACTCTCACCACCAATTAGCAATTAGCTTAATTAATTATTTTTTTTTTTAATTTAAAATTTCAAAATTTCATAAATTTTATAAATTTTATAAATTTTTAATTAATTTTACTTTAGTTTTTTGGTACGTTTTGGGAGTCAAAAAAAAACAAAAGGAATTTTTCATTATGATTTTGAAATGTACCACTTACGTGCATGTTTAGAAAATTCCTCAATTAATTCGTCGCGATCTCTATTCTTAGGTATATTCCCGACAAAAAGCCGGTGATTATTATAAGATATCGTAACACCAATCTTTTTGCCTTTCCGAATTTCAAAATCATTTAGCTGGAATTGTCAAAAGTTCACACAAAATATTTTGTTTTCTTGTTCGATTTATTGTTTATTGTTATTGTTGTTCTTCAATGTTTCAATGTTTTAGAGTAATTCTCTTTTAAGTAAACTTTTTAATTTAAATGTATAATATAATAATTTTTCTTAATATAGAAATCGTAATCGTGCCAAATAATAATTTGTAAAATGTTGAAAAAAAAAATCAAAAAAATTGTCTTATATTTTAAGAGATATTGTTGAATGTTGCTGTGTTCTGATAATTTTACTGATCAATAATATTATTAAAAATAAATTCTTTTAAATTGTTATTAAGTTACTACCAAAATATATGTATGAGTACTTTTTAAAATAATAGTTTTAGGCATACCATAACATTTAAAATTAAGTTTTATGTTTTTAAATTCAACAAATTTTGATTTTCTTTCATTTTTTTTTTTTGCAAAAAGTTGAAACATCTTCTAATTTTCTAGATCTCCATAAGGCTAGTACACACTATACGGTTGTAGCGGTAAACAAAATGAAACCAAAAAAGAACAGATCTTTCAAATGAAGAAAATAAAAAATAAAATTAACTTGTGTAATGTAATTTCCAACATTATTTGAAACTAATTGGCAACCCTATCGCTCTTGTTTGACAGACAATGAGGACGATAGCCGGCCCACTTGACAAAAACTGAGGAAGAAATATATGTCAGTCGGGTTATTGCATTCGTACGGTGCGTTTTAGTTAAATATTAATTAAATGTTTTGAATTATAAAATCAATTATTAAAAAATACCTGGTATTAAACTTGAAATATTTTCAATAACATTAATAACATAACAGTAAGAGAAATACACTCTCTCTCACTGAGGCTCTATGCTCCACTGGGAGATACACTGGCCCAATGATAAAAATGACTATAAAAATGATTTATAAAAATATGGCCAGTATTACTTGATATATGTTTAATAACACTTAATTAACAAAAATATAATAATTATGGATGTTATAGTGTCCAATCAGATTGGTACAAATTAAACTATAAAGTTTATAAATATAATAAATAAACTTGAAAGGAAAAAAATGAATTTCATACACGGTTTAAAAATATATACGGACTATTAAACCATTAAATATTTCTAAATACTCTTCAAGATAAATTATTGGTCAATAATTTACTTAATCTTTATTATAAACAACTTCTCCATTAAAAAATACAAAGCTTGTCATTAAAAGTTTAATTATTATTTAGAAATAAATTAACCTTTATAATTATTAGTCGAGTTATGGTGAGAGTAAAGGCGTTGCTATAATTCAAGTACTACTCATAACAAGAACCCTATGCAAATATAGTGAAAACGTACATACTCCATTAAAAGGATAATAAATTAACCTCTCGAAAGTCCATTTCTCTTAAAAGAACAAAAGTTGACAGTCATAAAAGTTTTCCAAGATGAAGTACCCTAAATAATAATCAGTTGAGTTATCATGAGAGTTTAAAGATTAGTAGGAAATAATAAGTGAATTGTTGTAGAAACCTTTAAGTTCTTTATAAAAACCGTGAAGAATCTCCTATCGAACATATTCTTATCTTTTGGATGGACAGTCCTCTCGAAAGATAAAGAGTTGGCTGACAATGAGTATCCGTAATGAAATTATACAAGGTGAGATGAAAAAACTGCAACCAACTTCAGACTGCTGTCATTTCTAAACCGCTCGTCCCACAGCTGTCAGATTTATTCTAGTGACAGCTCATTATATTGTTTACAAGCGCACAAAAGCATTTTGGTGGGAATTTTTCAGAAAAAAAGTTATTTGTGATGGAATTCAAGCGTGATAGTGTGATTGCTTTGCATTTGGCTGGAAAACCACAAGTGGCTATCGTTAGAGCCCTCCAGCATTTAGAAGTGAATAAATGTTTTGTGTCTCGTACCATCGCTCGTTACCATGATACTGGTAGCGTAGCCCGACGTCAAGGAAGTGGACGAAAAAAAACAGCAACATCGGCAGAAATGGTTCGAAAAGTGAAAAAGCGAATTGAACGAAATCCGCGTCGCAGTGGACGAAAAATGGCTCGTGAGCTGAACATATCGCAATATGCCATTCGGCAAATATTGAAAAATGAGCTTGGACTAAAGCCATTCAAGTTCCAAAAAGTGCAAGATCTTACTGATGCGCAAAAAAAAGTTAGACTCGAAAAAGCTAAAGAGTTGTTTCGCTTGGCCGAAAGTGGTGAACTGCCGAATTTGGTTTTCTCCGATGAGAAACCATTCGTTATCCAGCAGTTTGTAAACAAACAAAATGATCGTGTTTACTTGCCAGAGAGGTCAGCTGAAAATTTGCAACTTCGGTTGGCCATCACAACTCAAAAGCCGGCCATGGTGATGGTGTGGGCCGCCATAACAGCCGATGGTCGCTCGCCGCTCGTATTCATCGACCGTGGTGTCAAATTAAATGCGCAAATCTATCGCGAAAATATTTTGGAGGGAGTTCTGAAGCCCTGGGCACGCAAACATTTCGGCCGCAGACCTTGGACATTCCAACAGGACTCAGCACCATCGCACTCAGCACGCGCCATCCAAGAATGGTTAAGAAATGAGGTTCCTCGCTTCATTTCCACCGCACAATGGCCACCAAAATCTCCGGATGCCAATCCGTTGGACTATTGTGCCTGGGGTATTTTGGAAAGCAAGGTTGGAACTAAAAAATACCAAAGTGTCGATCATCTCAAGCAAGCGCTTCGCCGAGAATGGGACAAAATACCGCAGAGCCACTTTCGGTCAGCGTGTGATGGTTTCATTGGCCGTTTGAAGGCCATAGTTTGTGCCAAAGGTGGCCAATTCGAACAAATCTAAACCGATTCTCAAATTTGATGTTATTTCCGACATTTTTTGCTTTCATTCAATAAAATTTAAAAAAAATGAAAAAATTATGGCGTTTTACTTTGTTGCAGTTTTTTCATCTCACCTTGTATATATGCAATATATAGTATTAAAGACAAATTGTTTAATAGAAATTTATTACAAAATGAAATTTTTTCTAAACACCAAACCAACAATTTCTGTAACCGATCTATCGAGTCTTTTCCGTCTGTGAGGGTCTTGACATGTCACAGTCAGAAGGTAAAGGGATTCAGAACTGATTCATGGCTCTACTAAACTCTATAATTAGTAAGTGATAAATGTTTCAACTTTTTGCTTATAAGTAGATTTGTATTAATTTTAAAATAATATATTATATGAGTGTGTGTTTATATATTAAAATATTAATAAAAAAAAATGGGATTACAAAATATTTTTTGGTATGAAATAGAATTGTATAAATTCTCATAATTAATTCAAATCTAAAATTAATGCTCTAAAAATATATTTGTGATTACATAATTATATAATTTATTAGTTAATTAGTTAAAATAATTTGATGCAAAAATTTTGTAATTTTCGTTCACTTTTTTTCTTGTACGCAGAGTTAATGACTGGAGATTTTTATATTTTTAATTTAGCAATTTTATGATTTTTTTAGTTTTTGGATGATTTTCTTTTTAATAATTAATATTTAATATTTAATATTTTGCTAAACTTCAGCTTTACGTTTACGTTTTAGCATTTAAAAAATAAGCATTATATATAATAATATAAGAGTACATACATTTCATATATGTAAATATATATATATGTTTTGTGTGTTTAAGCGTATGCATGTGTGCATAAAATAAATAATACATTAATACATACATCCTAAGCTGCTGTAAATGTTGCTAAAATTTAGATGAGAATACAGATTTTTTTAAATTTTTTTTTAATAGATTTAAACTGTATTTGACACATTTGAAAAGATAGTCTCAATGAATGAAATGCTGCGAATAATTTCTAGTTAAATGCTAATATATATATATACATATATATATATATATATAAACGATATGTGTTGGTGCATTTGTGAATACGAAAGTAAGTGCATGTGAAGAGGATAAATAAATAAAATTTTTTAGATGTGTTAAGGTGACATTTATGTATTATAAATATACATACAAATATATATATATATATAAATATGTATTTTGTTATTTACATTAAAGCTTGGTGGCATATTTGGTTGATTGGTGGTGATTGGCGGTTAGGGAAGCTTATAAAGAACAAAACAATTTTAATTAAATATTTTTACAATATGTTTACAAATAATTTAGGAACAAAATATTTTTGACAAATAAAACATTTAAATAATATACGTATCAACAACCAAACCGATAAATAGGATTTAACTATAACGCAATAATTGTTTTTAGCTATTTTAACTAAACCTATATGATATATCATATATATACTTTATACACTCCTCTTATCTAAATTGATTTGAATACAAGAACACAACGCTGACCTTTTTTCTTGTATAGACATTTTCTGCTAAGGAAACTGACTATTATCATTAAAATTACTAACAAACTTCAGCCCATTGGTATCAAAAAAGCCAATTCTCTTAGCCAATTAGATTTTTGTTTATTACATGCCAATTTTTCATAAACGCTTATATATCCTTAAAAAATTTCATTGCATAGTTTTAGGTACAGCCAATTATCAGAGATAGGTGCATAAGTGTAAATCATACATGAAAACGTTTTACACTTATGCACTTATTTCACATTTTAAGCGTTTATTTATTTAATTATTTTATATATAACAAAATATTCATTTATTTTATGTCATATCTTGTTATATTTTTAATTTTTGAATTAAGAATTTAAGTAATTTAAAATTTTTCCTTTACCTGTTAGTTTACCGAACTCATCGAGTATCTCATCTTTTCCTTTGGACTTAGGTATGTTGCCTACAAACAAGCGTAGATTTGGTACGCTTATATTAATTTTAAGGCATTTGCCCGGTTTTATTTCGTGATTATCGAGCTGTAGATTGGGAATTGTATCAGATGTTTACAAAATTTTTAAAAACTTTTGGTAATTAATGTATTTGTAGTTGGTAAGGTAAAATAATAAATAATATGCATAGTAATTAATATATTAAACAAAAACAAACAGAACGAAAAAAATTGAAATAATAAAATATATATTAATTAAAATTTAAAAATTTTATTAAACGAAAATAAATAATATGAACGACGATTTTCTATAGGAAATAGGAAGGGTAAGGGGTAAATTGGGATAAATAAATTAAAATATAGTATTAAAGGAAGTATTGAGCATTATATTTAAAGAAGGATATATTTTAATTAATCTACAATTATAAAAAAAGACTCATAGAATGACTCATAGAACTTAATGATAATGTTAGTATTGGAAACGCAAAAATCATATTATAAATTATATATTAATATACAAAAATACAAAAAATAAAATAAAGAATTTTAAGATCGTGTGTATATATTACCATTGTTTTTAGAATTAATTTTTAATGCCAAAAATTCGTAGTTGGTTAAAATTTTGTATCCAAAAGTTGTTTACCCAAAGCATTGTAAATGTAAGGAAAAAAGTGTCAAAAGGAAAGTATATGTTAATTGTGTTACATTTTTTTAATGCAGAAAAGACAAACTAATGCTCGTTTTTAAAGAATAAAACCAGACGGAAAACAAAACGTACATTTTTTTTAAATGGAAAATATCAGAAAAACTACTCAATTTCAGAACAACGATAGATTTCTTTCTAAAAATTTCGATAGTCAATAAGCAATTTAACTAAAATCAATAGCAGTAGTCAATATATATAAGCTACGGTATACAGTAATTTAGACTTCAATATCAAATATTCAATTTTTAGCTTAGAAACAGTTCAATTCTCAACTAAAATATATATATTTTTTTTTATAAAACATTTCAAATATAATTTTGGATTTATTTTTAATAGGCTTCAAACAGTTTGCGTTGATTTTACATTTTTACAAATAAAAATAAAATAAAATAAAATAAAATAAATATATAAACAAAACTACATTAAGGTAAGGGGGGTTTTGGATAAGGTACTTCTTCAGATACGAATACAAAATAATAATATAAGGAAATAGGAAATTTTATTATTTTTACTGGTTAAAAGAGACTTCTTTTCAAATCGTGTTTACTTTTTAACTTTTTTTTTCTTTCGATTTTTTCAGGTAGTTTTTTATTAAATTCTAATCAATACGTTGGAATATTTAAAGCCGCAAATTTGATAGAATAGAATTAAAAATCAAAAATTATCAACGATAGCAAAAATATTTGTTCTTAAATAATACGAGTATCCAGTAGAAAGAGCATGCAATGCAGGGTAAGAAATACTACATAAAGTTTTAACTAAAAAGAACAATTTATATATACTAGAATACTTAAGAATAAGCAAAGTACAAGTAAAGATATTTTAAACTACGTAAAGTTGTAAAGTTGTAAAGAATTAAAAAAGTCTTAAACTAAAGCAAGTATAGTGGGACAATAAAAGGATTTCATGAAAAATCCTAGCAAGTTGAGATAGAAAAAAAATCAATCGTTCGAATTTTGCAGCCTAAATTTGGATTTTCTAAATGCTTTTCTGCATTTTAAGGTTTTTGTGCCTAAAATTTGACTATTAGAGAGTTTAAAATATTATAAATTCTGTTAAATATATAATTCTTTTTAAAGTTTTTTTATATAAAATTCATATATTATATACATGATTACATATCTTACTGAGAATAATTAATTGAAATGTTTAAAAATACCTGTCTAACAGCATTATGAGCCGCTTCACGTGACGTAAATGTAACAAATGCATAACCGCGATTGGTGCCTGTCATTGGGTCCATCATTAAACGCAGATCCCAAATAGTACCACAGTTTTCAAATATTGGAATTAATTCGTCTTCGAACATATCTTTTGGTATTTTACCGCAAAATACTTCGCAACCATTACCGGGTGTAGGACCATCCCAATTTGGTGGTGGACCACCATATTTACGTTGACCTACAAAAAAAAATTGTTCATTGAGATCTATATAATATTTTTTAATTTAATTTGTTTTTTTTACATAATTTTTTTTTAAATCTAAATTATTTTAACTACACAATTTTTTTTAATCTATATAATTGTTTTAGTTTGTTTTTTATCTTACCAGTAGTAACATCTAGGGAATAGCCAGTACGTTCAAGGATTTTACGTATTTTTTCTTCATCTGGTCCTTTGATTTGAACTGTGGTAGTTGGTGGTGGTACACCTTGTTGGCTAGCACGGCTCTTTTGCCTATAAGTCTTCATTACACCACAAAGGAAAGCGGATTTATTTGAAACATGTTCAAGATTTGATTCTAAGAACTGGCTTAGAACATTCAAGGCACCATCCACTGGAAATTCTTTAAGTGCATCTAAGGCACGTTCATCAAGCTCAACATGAGCTAATTTACCAGTTTTGTATATGTCATCGAGCTTACCGGCGACCTATTGAATTATTTGTGAAATAAAAATTTTTAAAATAATATTATTCTTTATTATTATATATAGTAATAAATTGTTTTTTAAAATGTATTTAAATAAAATTTTATAAATAATATTCCTCGTTTCTATATAGCAAATAACAATAGATATTTTATTATAATGTTGTGGAACCTTAGTAATTTTGGTATTAAAATAAAAATTAGGCACAATCAAGTACGTACAGAAAAGATTTTTGCGCCTTAATTTATGCTATAGCGCTTTTGTTTTTTATTTTCAAAATTTTTTTTTTTAATTTCCGCTGTCCTGTTTTATAAACAATAAAGTTTTTACTTAAGTAGATAAGTAGCCAAGCCTCTTTTTGTGCTTTCTACTTTTTTTTTATATTTTTATTTATTTAAATAACTTATTTTATTAATTTAATTGATAGTACTTTAGCAATCACTAATAAAAATCCATGTAATCCTTAATGGATTAGTTAAGACATGATATTTATTAATAACAACATAACATTAGTACAGATCATATCACGCAAACAGATTTAATCATAGCTTGTCTTTCATTGAATCAACTTTTACGCTGTTTTGTAAAGTTTTCCATATTCGTATAATGTACTTCATTTATTTTTATTATTTTATTTTATTTAGTTCTAGTCTTGGAACTTCAGTTTGCTGAGTTCAGTCTGGACAGAAAATTTGGATTAATGTGATTATTCGAAGAAAATAAATAACTACATCTAAAATATTTTATATTACATATAAGAAACTTACTTTTTTATCTAAGCCATATTCTATTAGTTTAGGGTAATCCTCAGTACGTTCACCATCTCCGCGATCGTCAGACTTTTGATTAATGTCATCTAGCAGTTCACCATTTCCCTCCGCCATTTCTAAATCGAATACTAAAAAAACAAAATTATATATTAAAAAATCGTTGAAAATAAGTTCAAAGTTAAGTTTCAAAGTTAAGTTTGACAAATATTTAATTAAAAAAATCATAAATGAAATCCAAGTGAATGAACAAATTTCGCAAATTTTACATTCTCCCTCAACCCACAACCCGCAACCCATAACGCTACACCAACGCATTAGTACAATTGAGGAAGCACATAACATAATTAATTCACCTTGAAGTGAGTTCAATAAACGCAAAAAGCTGTAACACAAATTTTTGCAAACCAAAACACACGCACACACGCACATACGCACACAAGCAAACGCACAACGGGCATAAACTTTTGTATATGAAAAGTAAATAAACAAAAATTAAAATTGGCAAAATTTGCGAATACGCAAAGTGCGTTGACACCAAACCAACTGATCTTTGGAAGCAAACACATGCACACACACACACACACAAACACAAGCTAAATGCTATTCATTGCTCATGTAAAGTGCGTACCAAACAAATATACGTATAAATTTTTGGTAAATTCGGTGAGAGAAACAATAACAACAACAACAATGCAATAGAGAACGCAAATAAAAAATACTTAGAAAGTTTACCAAAGTTTACCAAAGTTTAACGGTGCCAGCCAAATGAGTACGAAAAATATAAACAATAAAGTGTGCGTTGCGTATACGTACGCACAACTGTTATTAGTGACAAATAGTAGCAAAAATTTGCAAAAAGAAAATATAAACATAAAATAAAAATCAAAACATAAATCAGCTGTTATAGATGAATATATCATATGAAATTGGTCATTTTTAGATATTTGTTTATTTTTTTAAACTAATAATTATACTAAGTATTTTTTACGACGTATGCATGACGTATGCTTTTCTCTTTTTTTTGTTATTATTTATACTTTTGTTTAAGTAATAAGAAAAATATTTATTTTAACAAAATAAATTGAGCCATTTAAAAATAGTTAGTAGCTGTGCGATACTTGGGAATATAAGCAAATAATAACAAAAATACCAATGAAAAACGCTCTCACTGCAATGCGTTTGTGAAGTTGCTATCAACTTTACAGTCAAAAAAGCTTTTAACTTTATTTTGGCGCTAAATTTTTGTCACGGCAGAGGCGTTAGGTGGAAATATTTTAAGCTTAGACTCGAAAATTGTTATAAATAATTAAAATTGTAAATGATTTCAAAATTGTTAATAAAAATATGCAACAAAAATATTTATTAAAAATATTTGAACAGACATAACACACTTTTCCATATACAACTTATTTCAAGACGAAGAAGGATCACCTAATGTAATTATGATTGACAGACTCCTAATTATTGCTCACTCCCCCTGTTATAATTTTTTTTGAAAATTGTATTATCGTTTATCGAAAGATTTTAGAATGAATAAACACTTAAAATGGAAATTATTTATCTTTTAAATAAATATCTTTTTTAGAAATGGAAATACTTAATTTAAAATAAAATTAATACTCAAAATAAACGTCATAAATTTTCTTTATTACAGTTAACACTAACCTATTAAAATTTAATTTTAAAAAAATTAAAAAAAAAAATTTAATAAAATAATAATTATAAATTTTTAGTTTGTTGCCAACGACATTATCAATTATAACAAATTATGGAAGTAGCCTTACCTCACCTGTTGAATCTACAAAACTAATTAGAGTTAGAAACTATACGAGCACAACATTTACGAGTAAAAAGAAACTAGAGAACTGGCCGAGTAGCGCAAAAATATAAATAAAAATAAAAAAAAAAAATAAAAAAATTTGTACATATATTAAATAGGTCAGTAGCAACAAAGAGAGAAATAGATTCAAATTTTTGCGTTAAAATAAAATTAGCAAATGTTTAAGTTTGTTTTTGGTATATGTGTATGTGTGTGTGTGGATGTGTGCAAAAATAAAAATGAGTAGAAGAGAAAAAAAAAACAAAAAAAAAAAAGAAAAACAACAAACTGTCAAAATGTTTGATAATAAAGCAAACAAAAGTAAAAAATTAATTATTTTTAGAGGCGCGTATCTAATAAAAAATAAAAAATAAAAAAAGAAAATAATTAAAATAAATATTAAATAAAATAAAAAGACACAAAAAACTCTTAGCAAATGAGTGGTAGGTGGAGGAGAGGCATTTGAGCGGAGCACGAGTAAAAAGTGAAAAATAGAAATTTGAATTGGAATAAAACAGTATTTCTATCTATACGTGAGCAAACTTTATATGAGTAATAATAATAAAGAACTTTAAAAAAAGATGTATTTTCAAAGAACGGTACCATATATAATAAATCGTAAGTATCGTCGAGATACGAATTTGCAAGTAAAAATGTGTTTGAACAATTTTTTTTTACTTTTTTACTTTTTCTTCTCCTTTCTTCTGTTTTGTTTGCTTTTTATGACTTTTAAAGTTTTTGTTAGCTTTTGCGAAGTTTAAAAACGAAAATGTTTAATTTTGGATTTACACATAATGTTCCCCCCCACAAAAAAAAAAAAATAATTTTAATGTGGCGAATTCAGGTCTGTATCCAAGAGATACTCTGTATATACTTTGTGCGATCCTACTTACACATATAGAAACCTATAGAATGTTAATCTATCAGTACGTACATATGTGTTTTTTATGATATACAAAATGTTTGCGATTTTGTGGCGGCACTTATCAATTTTTGCAAATATACTCGTTTGTCAAACAATTTAAGAATTTCAGATTTAAAAAAAGTAGTTAAAAAAACTGGAAAACCAATGATTGCGTAATAAAGCAAGCATAAGTATCTAAAATCTAAAATTAAACTTTTCGCAAATGTTAAGCAAACGGCTTTGACTTTAATGATATTAATTTTATCTTTTATGAAATATTATATTACTGTTTTTAATTAATTAATAATACTTATCTCTTATACTTAGTTGGATATTTGTTTCGAATTTTAGAGAACTAGAATGGTAACGTTACTTTCCCCTTTTATTTTAATTGCGGCTTTTGTTATTATTTTTCTTTTCGTTTAAATGAAAACCTAAAATTGCAGGTTTATTTTGGAAACAGTTCCTGACTTCTTTCTGGCATCACAATTTTACAACACAGTAATTATAAAATAATATCATAAGAAATAAATGAAATAATAAATCAATTTATTTCTTTCTTTTATTTAAATGGCTCTAATACTATGATATTGATATTGTTGATCTGAAAACACCCACATCGTCAGTGCGGTTTTTTCCAACTTAGAAAAACAAGCGAAAACACAAAGTATCTTCTAATAAAAAACAAATTTCCTTAGCGTTTTAGGACCCACGTTACTGTTGACAACTATAAATTTGAAGTTGTGAAAGACTTTGTTTATACAACAAAAACGATGTCAGTCTAGAAATCACACTTGCCAACAAATGTTACTTCAAGCTAAGTAGACAATTGATAAATAAAATTCTCTCTCTTATCATGTCTTTCTTGCTGTACGGTTCAGAAGCTTGGACAATTATTAACAGTGATGAGAAGATGCGAATGGGAAAAAATACTTCGGCTAGAAAGGTGTTTACTCGCTAGCTACCGGTAAAAAATGCGCCAAACGTTCGTATCTTCGGAAGAAGGACCAGGTGACAAATGATGTGTGAAGGCACTCAGTACTACTAACTAGTGACAGCAATGTACCTATTAAGCTGACTCACGGACGCAGTCAAGGACGACATATGTCCGAAATGGTTAACTAAGTAAAGAAGTGGTAATACTTGGGATCTCATCTAAACCGATAAATGTTTTTTAAACCTTATAAACTTATACATTTATTTGCTTGGTAAATGAAGTGTCAAATTTTGTATAAAAAATAGTTTACAGACACTTGATAAATTTACACAAAAATTTTACCGAATAAATTTATATCGTATAAATTTATCTGTGGTCAATACAGAGTTGCATTCCAACATAAGCAAATCATTTTACAAAAATGTCTTTGTAAATACTTTTTAGTTTGGACTTTTGGCTCTATTTCGGTATTTCATTTTATAATTTATGGATGGCGACACTGCTGACCAATAAAGATTGCACAAATATTTAAAATTGCAACGATATTAGCTAAAAAATTGTATTTTGTGCCATCATAATTATTACTGATAAATAGTGCTATTACACAGCAGATTAAAAAATGTACATAAGTATTCCAATAAGTGCCTTCATACAACCGTGTACGAAAACGCATAAAATTTTACAAATGATAAATTTATATGCTTAGATAAATACTCCTACTATGTATATTTTTATATAGATTTTGTATGAAAAGTGGCATATATAGCTGCATATTTGTCGAGTTAAGTAATATAGTCTAAACACTGCATAATTTAATTATTAATATAATATGTTTAATATGTTGCAATAATTTTTTTTTATTTAACAAGTAAATAGGTTTAAAATTTATTATAATACTTTTATAAAATTGTTAGCGTATCGAAATTTTTGAATTCCTTTTCAGGTCGAAATGATTAAACAATATCACATATTACATAGATCAACTCAGATGACACTTATATATAATTAATGAAATTTTTTTGTTATAACCTTTAACATTTATAACTTCCAAATGTTAATTTTTATGTATTTAAGACCTCTGCATAATGCATGAATTTGTTAATTAAACTATGAAATAATGAAATTTAAATTTTGCATGCCATGCAAAAATATCTCAAATGTTGTTTATTGTTTTTTGTTATGAATTAACAAATATATAAGAAATTCCAAATGCAGCAATTGCCACTACCAAATATTGCCATACAAATATGCCAAGCATGCAAGAATAAATAAAATTTATGTACATTTCCTCAACTTCCGTTTGTTTATACATATCCGGTGCTTTAGTGGTTGGGTCGATAACAACAGAGTACCTATACAGTGTAATATTTACCTACATGGGTCTAGTTGAGATACGGATAAAATTTATTGCCACTGCAACACGGAATGAAATTGTAGTTTTTGCACTTCGTTTTTTTTTCAATTATGA